TTATATATAATAAATCATCGTTAAATTTTTAAAGTTACTACTTTTATAATACATATCACAGGACGGGTTACATGACAGATTATATTTCGGAACGGGGTTATAAGGTGAACGAGTTTGAATCAATATTTATAAAATTTAAAATATTATTAACATGCCGCTTTAATACAGATCAAATCTTCAGTTTATTAAAATATAAATATCTTAGAGAATGAAACATTTTTTAAACTTTTATATATAATAAATAATCATTAAATTTTAAAATCACTACTTTTAGAAATAAAAATCACGGGATGGGTTAAAGAATTACAGGACTGGTTATATTTTGGAACGGGTTTATATGGCTGACGGGTTTGAATCAATATTTATAAAATTTTAAAATATCATTAACATGCCGCTTTAATACGGGTTAAATCTCAGTTTATTAACAATTTTCTCGTGGACTCGTGGTATACCGTTACTTAATAACAACTGTAAACTATAAAATATTAATATTTTATAAGGAGATAAAATTTGCAAAATTAATATATACTAACTTTAAAAAATAAATTATTCCGCGGTGTCCCGAGGGTTAAAATCTAGTATCCATAAAAACTAACCAAATAAAATTTTGGTTAATCAATTAACAAAGTTATTATTAAATGTGTGGTTATTAAATCACAAGTAACCGAACCGAACTATCTGGCTATCGAAAAAAATAATTTTTTTTTAAAAGTTTTATTTGCAGCAATTGTTGTAACCCAAAAAAATCGAGGAGCCAGATAACTGACCCAAATGACTTGACAAAAAACATAATGCAAAGGTCAACCTCATCAGCTCCATAACCAATATAAAATTAGGTGAACTTGTGCATAGACAAAAATAGGACATGAAATTAGGTATTCGACAATATGTATTTTTGGTCTTCAAGAAAAGTAAATAAATTAAATAAATGGGTTTGGAGTTCAGCTTAATAAGGGAAAAACCACCACCAGATTTGTCTCTCCGCGTGGAGAGATGCTTTTGACTTTTAAGACATCGAAAGTATAACCTAACATTAGTAAATGTTTAGCAGTTGACAGAAATAACGAGGTGACAGTTATTAAGGATTTTTATCTCTCATGCCACAAACTGAGAAAAAGTGTTCACTTATGCCCTTTTATGTTTTCAATTTTCTTTTACAATTTTTTTTAAGTCATAATCAATAGGAAATGTCCAAAAACCCTTGGAAAAAGACCTAAATCACTAACCCAACCTGATGTATCCGATCCAAACCCAACAAAAGTAGTAACCCAATCTAAACTCCTCAAAATTACCCTAATTTCCAAAGTTGATGAATTCGATCAAAAATAAAATTAGATTTGATACAACTAGAATTATAGATTTGTTTGAAAACGTGGGGTAAACGACCGATTAGTCATCGGCAAAGCGTCGGCGGTTGCTCAAATTAGATCGAAGTTTCGAAAATAAAATCACGTTTTGTTTCTATCTAAGTTAGAAATCCATAATTACCTCAAAGATCTATCATAATTTGGTATAAAACTACAAGAAAAACATGAAAAAATGATTAAATCCTGAAAAAAAATTAAAAACCAGCAAAAACCAAGGCTTTGATGTCGCAAGACAAAAGAAAGGAGACAATGGAATTTTGGTAAATTTACGATTAACTGAAAAAGAAAAAAAAATAACAAAAATTGGGTATCTCGGGCGTCAAACCCACGTTCTCACGAATCAAGGTCAATGACCTAGACCAGAATACCAAGCTGCATTCGTTCTTCATTTACGCTTCACTAATATATATATATATATATATATATATATATATATATATATATATATATATATATATAGCTATATCGAGATTAAATTTCTGAACTAGAAAAACCAAAAACCACCGCATTTAAAAATATTTAAAATTTAAAAAGAATTAAATTCATTTCACGTGTGGTAAAGTGAATATTTGGCGGCGGAAAATTAATAAAATAGACTTTTGGCAGCGGAAAATATTCATAGTTGTCTGTAAATGTACATTTATATACAATTGTACATTCAACCTCACAGTTGTATTTTGGTGATTTTTGTTTACTTTTAGTTGGACCTAAATATAAATTATTATGTTAGAGTTGTTCATATAATTCCCATTTTAATTATATTTAAGAGGTTTTCACAATATAATTTGCACGAAATCAAAGTTGTAACACCCCGACCGTCCCTACCAGTGGGCCCCACATTCTCTCTCGGGCCTATGGCCCACCCCTGTCCGACGGCCGGTCTGTTACGTCCGGGAGGCTTTAAAGACTTGTTTACCGACCCTTCAAATCACCACATGATCTTTCCCTGTGTTTTCTCCTCACTCACACAGTTTCGGCAATCACTTCTCGGAAGGTCACCCATCCTTAAATTGCTCCAGTTCAAGCACACTTAACTGTGGAGTTCTCTCAGGACAGTTGACCGAAAAGATAAGTGCACTTTGGTGACATAGGTGGCCAAATCAATTTTTTAAAATCTCTCCGCATGCACCACCATATTCCTGAAACCGGTATGTTACAAAAGTTTTCACTTATTTTGCATCATAAGAGGGTGACCACTTACAAAGTCTTCCTTATAATATAAGGAATGTTTTAAGTGAAAATAAGAATATATATTTGGATATAAGTTTCATGGAAATGGTATTATATAAACTTCCTAAATGATAATTAATAGTAATAACTCATGTGGCCAACTATAACATAATAATTTATATCAAGGTCCAACTACAAATACGCAAAAATTGTTTAAGTACAACTATGAAGATAAAAGTACAACTGTACATATAGGAACAACTATTGTTATATAACTCACAAATTTTTTATTAATTTTTTATTTTGTTTAACTCATTTTATCATATATGGGACCAGTTTATCATATGTGGACTATTTTATCCCACATGGGATGGTTTAGATTTTTTTTATTTATTTGCTTTTTGTTTTAATTAGATTTGAATTAAATTTATTAACATATATCATTAAAGTAAACATAAAATATCACATTAAGAGTGGCATTCAGATTAATAAGTGGTAAACCAGATTATTTTTTCCCCAAAATTACTCAGTTATTAAATGCAAACAACTTTATTTGAACTTTATCTCATTTGAATTGGTAACGAAAACAATTTTAGACGGAATTCAAAAAATTTAAACAGCTAACATAGTTGCATAGACACCTAATAAATAGTTCTTCGAATTTTTTAAATAATTAACCTAGTTGAATGGACACCCAATGTATATTTTACACGATTTGGACATTTCTATACAGCTAAACACATACATAGGGTCCGAATGGTAACAGCGTATTTGGTTGTGCGGGAAAAGCGGTTTTATAGTGCGGTGCGGTTCAACTGCGGTACGTGCGGGAGAAATATATTTGCGGGACAAGTGCGGTTCATACAAAATAAGCGGTACGGAATAAAATTCGATTGGTGAAAAACTGTTTGCGGTACACAATAATCATAAATTAGTGATTGTTTTGTGGTAGTGAAAAAACATTTTTATATATTTATGAATCTTAAATATGCAAATTGATTTAAATTAAAATATTAAATCTTTTGACATAATTATTGCTAAATTATTAAAAAAATTCGATCATAAAAAGTATAACATTACTTAAAACTTTATGACAGGAAAAATACTGTGAGAAGGAGATATATGTATTTAAGTTAAAAAAAAATATTACACATATATAGATGGTTTTAATGATTAAAAATAAAAAATAATAATGTACAGTATATAGCCCATTGCGTTTTTTGTTGAACCACATGATAAAAAGATGTTCTGGTTTTAAACAGCGGTCCAAAGGGATTTATCTCTTTTCGAAAAACGCATCTGCTTTCTTTAAAAAATAAAATAAAAACGCAAATATGGAGAATAAATGTTGATTGGTGTTGTATGTGTGGTTTTCAATTTTATTTTTCGAAATCCGCAGTTAACTTGTCACCATTCACTACCATAGAGCGTTAAAAATATTTGTTAAACAGTTCAGTCTATGTGTACATGTAAATACATATTTATAGAGCGTTATTAACATTTATATACATGTAAACATGTACATAGAGCGTTATTAACATTTGTATAATTGTAAATATGTACGTGGAGCGTTATTAACATTTATATATATATATATATATATATAAACACGTATATAGAGCGCTTTTAACATTCGTATATATGTAACATTTATAACATTCGTATTATTAACATTTGTATATTTGTATGCACGCTACACGCCCGTTGACTTACTGTTTCAATGATGGTAATTTCTTCGGCGCCGCATTTAGGAAAGGAAGCAAGTCTATATTTCTGCTTTGTCGGAGTGCGGTTGAACAGTTACCAAAGATGTTAAAGGCGGATGAGACTTATGGTTTACAGAATGAAAAGGCGGGATGATGAGCAAGAGAGAAAGTAGACATCCAAGAATCAGATAGTTATAATAATTAGTTAGATATAACACGCTTTTTCATTGCAAGAACGACAAAAGTCAATGGATTTGTCTCACACAATGGATTGATTCGGAGTCCAAATATCAGAAGCGCGTAGGGTTAAAATTGGCAAGATGAGGGGTTAAATATTTTCATTGTTTTGGACGTTGGGTCAGATTACTAAAAAACTAATTTACATCTAATATATGGTTTCTGACCCAATTATCTCTATAAAATTTTTGTTTGCAATTGCTGCAAATATCTTATGGTCCTAACTCCTAAACAACCGTTTAGTTGGTATTTGGGACCAAACAAAGTACCAAATAGGCTAAATTGTCAATTTATCTTTTTGTAAAATTGATTTGGTAATTGTTAATTTTTTTTGCTTCAATTGCATTGCTATATCTAACATTTTTGAAAGATTTTTTTTTTTGACATTTGAAGGATTTAAGTTCAATTTCCATCATGTTAGTGCGATTACAATTGGAGTTTCAAAATCAAAATCACCTATAAATGGGATTTCAAAATCATGAGTTCTAAACTGAAATAAAAGATCCTAATATTTACGGTAACTTTACCCTCATTTCTATTCCACCTTACCAAAAGAGATTTAAATTTAAAAGCACACACTATGATATTAATATTCTTCATTCAAGTTTCCAAGCATAAAGAAACAAACAAAAGTCATGCAATGGTCCATAACCACTTGATGCTGAATTATAACGACTCAAAGGACTACTCCCTCCTCCGCTATCTCCTTCCTCCGCATCGCTAAAGCTCTCATCTACCATCGCTCCAACCGGAACAGGCTTAAACAAAAACAACCCTGAAGTCGCCGCAGTCTCTGAACTTGAAAACAACCAATCATGAACATCGTAGTAGACCATTACCGGCGTTCTATCCACCAACACCATTTGATTTCCCCTAAATTTCCATTGTAGATTCTTCACGTGCACGACAACGATCCCGTCCACGCTTATCCACATCTCAGGATCAGCCGCTCCATTAGAGCTTTCCACAACCACTTCATGTTCTTTTTTTTGCTCATCAAATCTCGCCCGAGTCGAAAACGTTTTCTTCCCAAAAATGCTTTCCTTTTTAAAATATATGAACCCTTCCACCAATGCCGGTCTTGACTTTGTCCGCTTATAAGCCTTTTGCTTTAAATCTCCCAACAATAAAACAACCTCTTCATCAGAAACTACTGCCACGTAATAGTCTGACACGGGTTCGGGGCTACCGTTTCCAGCCAATTTTGCTGATCGAAGATCCCAAAAGACCTCCACAAAGTTTCCCTCTACGTCGAATGCTTTTGAGCCTCTTTTGCTCCAAAACTGCCATGGCTTCACGAGATCAATCTTACAACAATAATTCATGTCATTGTCTAAACTCGAGACCATTACGGTGAGGGAATGATTCATGAGATTCTTGGACCATAAAACGGTGACGTTTCGAAAGAACCCTGCCACATGAGCTTGGTAACCGCACGTGACGGTACTATGAGGTGAAGGCGTTGCAGCCGACTTAAGTTGTGCCACGGTCTTTGGATTGTCTGTTACTTTCGCAGCGAATGCCGTAGGTTGGCCTCCGATAGACGGGATTCGAAATGATAACATCTTTATTACAAACCTCAATGGGTTCAAAGTAAAAACCTAATAACCTAAAAGAATGAAAAACACTTTGCTCTTTTTTTCTTGCATAAGAAGTTTGCCAAAATGTTGATCTTCTTCTATTGGAAAAAATGGTTCGGTGAGATTGTTAAACTTTTCCTATATGTTTAGTAATAAACTGATCAAAGATTGAGTTTGTTTGATTCAATGGGGAATAGATTTTTGAGTTTTGGCAAGAGAAAGAGAGAGAGAAAGAAAAGCTGAGAGATTATTTGATGGAACACCGATGAAGAAGGAATCTATATTTGACATCTTAATTAATATTGGCAAAATCGATAAAAATGGCTTTATGCAGTTCAAAAAATGTGTGTTACACCATATGTATCCAATAAATGATTTCTTTATTTAGAGCTTCTCAAAACCTCCACGGTTTCAGCAAGATGAAGCAAGCCATGAGAGACGTTTTGATCCGAAATAAGATTAGGATTAAGGCATAAGATTATAAAGATGAAGGTGACTCTATCATTAACAACAACATTATGTAACTATTAAATCATCCTACCCCAAGATTATACAAAAAATTAAAGACTAACCACTAATCTTGAAGATGATGGAATCATTCACTAATTGGCATGGAATATTAAAGATCTTGATCCAAAATGTGAGAATAATGTTCAAATCTAAAAATTCAATAAGAAGAGGAAAATAGAGATTTAACAGTACCTAAAATGTTATTATACTAGGAATTGACCCGCGGTACACCGCGGGACTATATTTTTATTAAAAAAATAGTATATGTTTGTTTGAGAAAAATCAATATAGGTTTTAAATATAGTAAGTCTTTATATAACCCATTTGCATGTGTGATTAGAATGTATATGGAAGTCTATATAGTGTTAATTGTACGACGAGTATGTTATATGTTTGAATATCTTATTATATAAAGTATAGTTTTCAAAGTTAATAACTCACGAGATCGTGACACGTGTCAAATTTTTCGATCTGAGATTTTGACATGTGTCAAATAAATTTTTCCTTTTAAAAACAAAAAAAAAGTAAAAAGATAATTATAAAAAAATTATAAATTTAAACAGTTTTAAAATGTAAAAAGCTAATTATAAGGAAATTGTACATATATTTTCATAAGAGTTTTTGCCATCTAGCAAACAAAATTTTTGTTTTCAAAAGATAATTATAACAAAACTATAAATTTAAATAGTTTTAAAAATATCAAAAGATTATAATAAGAAAACTTTATGTATAAATAAGGAAATTATATGTATATTTTCCATAAAAAAAAATTGAAACTATGAAATTATGATAAATATTTTATTTATAAGTTACTAACTGTACAAAAAAAAGATTTAAAAATAGAAATTTTTTTTAAGAAATTTATACAATCAATTATTAATCTTATAAGAAACAAGATTGTGGAAGTCCCCTTGGCCCATTGGTTGATCAAGGGTTAATTAATGCTTCTACACCTAGAAGTTTGGGGTTTGAGTCCCAGATACTGCGATTTATTAATAAATTTGCAGATTATTGGAGGCAAGTGTGCAGGAGATCTCCAGCGATGTACAATTATAGCCGTTCGCTAGGATTCTACGCAGAGAAGGAAGTGTCCATCAAGAGCATGAAGAAGGAGGTGAGCATGAAGAAGGAGGTGAGGTGAGCATGAAGAAGGAGATGAAGGAGGTGTCGTCTGTCGTGGATCTAATAAGGGTCGGAAGGAATTGTCCGTTGTAGATACGTCTATGTAACAGTTCTCATAATTTGCAATAAATAATAAATCCAGACGTTAAAAAAAGAAAAGAAAAAAGATTGTAAATAGTCACATTTAAATAAACAAATAGATTGTCTCATATTTTCTCATCAAGCAAACTAATTTCTTAACGATGTTATATCATATCAATTATAAACAAAATTGCGAATCACGATATTTTTCTAAAAATAGCATGTGATATTTAGATCTAATGAATATATGGCAATTGAGGCAAATTAATAATGCTGAACGGCGATAGCCATAGACTAGAGTTATTGTCGGAGAGGCTTGGTCCAATGTCGGAGGAGATAAAGAAGGTGGAGTAATAAGAGAAGTTGGGAAAAAAAGATAAGAGACGGTAACGGTGGTATTGGTGTTGATGATGGTGGTTCAAGCTTGGTGGTGGTAGCGGCGGTAAATATTGATGAAGGTGGTGAGTCGGAATTAGCGAGATTCGGTGTTGTTGGTGGTGGTGACTGTGATAGTAGTGAGATTTAGTTGTGGTGGTGGGTCAGAGTAATGAGACTCGGTGGTGATGTCCGACAAATGTGAGAAATGTAGATAGGGAAAAAAAATAAAAATATGGTGGTGAAGAAATAGGCTAACATTTATATTAGATGATTTAATAATTAGTACAACATAACTACAAATAATGTTTTATATTGCGCATTATGCTAATAAATCTATATTTAAAAATAATTATGCTGCATTTTCTAAACAATATATGTTTATAGAATTTTAGTTAAGCTTACAAAAATAAAATAAAAATGTTAAGAATGATAATCTCGACCGGCAACCCGTGCAACGCACGGGTCTATATCTAGTTTATAATAATAAAAAATGAGATTACTATTAGTAAGCGACGATGTACCGGGGCGTGTGCAAATTACGTATCATCTTATTGTGTTTGTTGTATATTTAAATAGTTTTGAAAGTGTGTTAAGGACATATATATATATATGCAAATAGTAAGTGATTAATATTCCTAAAATTTCGATAAAAACGTATTAAATTCAATTAGTTGTTTAGGCAAATAATTAATGGAAGATCCGATCGAGATTATAGTAACAAATAATATCTACCATATATCTTTAAAACCATAACCAAAAAATCGAATGTAGATAAGGAAACCTAGGATTTAATCGAGATTATAGGAACGATTTTATTTTGTTAATATCTTTAATTAATTTTTTCAAATCTTAAGAATTTAAGACTGTAAGTGATTAATATTCCTAAAATTTCGATAAAAATGTATTAAATTCAGTTAGTTGTTTAGGCAAATAATTAATGGAAGATGCGATCGAGATTATAGTAACAAATAATACCTACCATCTATCTTTAAAACCATAACCAAAAAATCAAATGTAGATAAGGAAACCTAGGATTTAATCGAGATTATAAGAACGATTTTATTTTGTTAATATCTTTAATTAATTTTTTCAAATCTTAAGAATTTAAGACAGTTTCATTGGAGTGTAAATAATATATAAGGAGTGTAAACTAATAACCCCTTAATTTTGTTCCGAGGTTCACTCTATTTTAGAATCTACCAATGTGTAATATTTTACAAAATAAGATTACCAGACAAAAAAAAAAACTTGACCTATTTAAAAACACCAAATCTTTGACATGTATGGATGGGGAGCAAACAAAATTCTGAAACCCTGTTCTCACAAAATACTATCACACATACAGTACTAAACTGTATCGAAGGTGCAAAGCGTAAAATTTAACTAATAAAACATGACTCTCGAGGAAAGAAACAATCCCATGTTTTAATAAACAAACCAAACAATAGTTAGGGTCAGGATGGGCAGTGGTTATGATTTTTTGTTTCTGTGATGAAAATGCAAACAGTGGTTATGATTTTTCATTATTCATGTCGATCTCATTTCAATTTTTAATTGGAGTTTGACATTTGATGACTTAGGAAAAGTCTAAATGAAATGTAGACGAACTTTTAGTTTCGGAAAAGAAAGCGAAATTATTATTAACAAAAATTCAAAGAGAAAAAAATTCACTGGAGGAGAATTTGATTAAACGCACTGAACTATGATACAAAGTAACACCATTCAATAAGACTGAAGTAGAATTGATCGAAGAAACTTTTGATCGAAATGAAAAATCATTCAGAGACATTGTAAGTAGACTCTGAGGATGTTATGTTTTGCTGCGACTGATCACATCTCCTCACATCTTCAATTATCCTCGCAACCTCCTCCATCTTTGGCCTCGACTCTGGATTCCTTGCGACACAAGACAAATCTAGCTGAAGCATCTGACATCAAAAACCTCTGCAGTCAGTACTCTTCCGGGAAGAGTCTTCCCTCACAACGGACCGAACCCATCTTGGAAAATCAATGACCACACGCTCATCCTCAAGACCAGGCTAAGTTAAAGGCGTCTTCCCAGTTAGCATTTCGAGAATCACCACACCAAAGCTATAAACATCTGATCTTTGACTGACTTTTCCTCGTCTCAATCACTCCAGTAACATTGGAGCCGATAGCTCTCAGTAGATATCTCATCCATAAACAATGTTTTTCTTGGCCTAACAGTCATTTCTCCTGCATTGCGTCAAGTTTATCAATTAGCATAACAGATCTAGTGGATCACTAAGTGATATAGATAAAAAAAGAGAGGGAAAATACCTGTTGTTACTCTTTTGCTTTGACCTCTTGAAACACCTCTCATCAAATCATTACCAAAACCATTGTATTAGAACATACATCAAGACCAAGAACTCTAAGCACATAAGCTGTGGAAACACTATGCTTTTCACCACTGACAGAAGCAGCCTATAACAAAGAGAACGTGTCAGACTTTGTTTTGTTACAAAGAAACATGATAATTGAAACATTAGGAGCTATATGATACTGGCCTTCATTTCGATCAATCTCAGGAGAAGGACGTATACCCCTCTCTTTCTCTAATCGGGTTAGATCTTTCATGTAACCTACAATTACACAACATCTAAACAGAAAATATTTGAGAATCTATGACTTGATGAAGTTTTTATTATGATTACTAACACCAAATGAAAAAAAAACCTGCAAATCCTTCACCTGCGCCTTGACATCTCGCAGCAAAATCAAGCATCTCGCGAACAGTGAATTCTGCAATGTGATTACCTGTTTGACTACTATATGCTGAAGTTCTTTTAATATAGAACTCATCAAGATTCTCTTCATTGTAGGTAACGTTATCCGTTTTCTGTCACAAATACAAAAACAAAAAAAAGACACATGCATGTGAGTATGTGACTTTCAAACGAAAAAGATATCAAATATAAGATACATGTATATGTCTATATATTTATATATTTCATATACCAATTTTTTCAAAAATCGTAACCAATTGAAAACAAATGTGTGTTTTCATGATCTATGAAATATTTGAGTTGTGTGACTGATGATATGAGAAGACGCAATTGCATAGAGTATTTATAGTAGAGTAAGGTAGGTCAAAAATATCTTGGTGGCCAAGCATAATATATTTGATACCATAACAAAATTGGAATAAAATCTATAAATTCGTTTTTGTTTAGGAATATCCGATGATTTTGTTATGAAGAGTAGTTATTTGTTTCTATAGAATCGTGTTTATGAATATTAGGATGAGAAATATTAAATACGAAATGTTTGCAATTAAATATTTACTATATATATGGAAAATCGTAACCAATTTTTAGTATCGATTTTAATGCCTTCCTTAATGTGGATTTTTTTTTTTTTTTGCAGAGAAATATTTCCAAAAGATTATCACATTAATGACTCAGAAAATTAAGGAAGATCCGATTTTCTGATTCTCGAAATCGTTTGGATAATATCTTTTCCAATATTTTTTAAATCTTAAGAATTAAATTCAATAGCATTTAAAATTAAATATTTGATTTCCATATATTTTAAACTCAAATCGAGTTTACGAAAAATTAGGAATGTTTAGTGAGTTTATTTATTGATTTGTAAATTTGATTAAGACATATATTTTTTCCAGATTTTATTTGTAGGGACTAAATGTACAATATTAAAATTGTAAAAGGATTTTTGAGGCCAAATCTTCACCAAAAATGTATATATAGATAAAAAAAATCCAATCTTTTTTACGCTTTGGTTGTTTTCTTTATTTTTTATGATTATCAGTCTCTTGCTGTATAAAGCCATCATGTGTGTTTTAAACTTTTAATCATATGATTTCTAGAACCGATTGACTTGAATCTACCAAAGACAAGAAAGGAATTAAGATATTGTCTAGTATTAAATATACTTATCCCAAACGCTATCAATTATATTCTAATTATATTCGAATCTGTAGCAGTTTTCCTTAATTTATCCCTAAAATTTAAGTCGAATATTAACAGCATTATATAATTATATAATAAATAGAAAATGGAAATAGCTTTAAAAGCGGTGAGCCGGTGACACATAAAACCCTAACTTAGCTATATATTTATATATGGAGAGAAAAGAGTAAGCAAGCTTATAAAATTTCTAGGGTTTCTAGCTAGGGTTCAAGCAAAAATGATCCAAAGTTGTCACCGTTACAGATTCCATAGAAATTCGATCTCCGAAGAATCCATAACAATGACGAGTGACTACTTTTCTGTTCATTTATAAGAGCAACTAAGTCTTTCGCTGGGATGACTTATTGTTGTGCCTTACCAAAGAGAACATTAGGCTCATGTTGTCTTTGATAACACATAACACTAAGCCATCGCGGTTAAAGACAACAGAAGGCTCGTTCAAAAAAAAACATGAGGCTCGTTGTGGTGGAACCCGTTGGATCCAACCCATAAACAAATTTAAGAACTATGAATTACAGTTGAAATTGTAGATTTCGTACATGACAACAATTTGCTCTAGTCTCACTCTCAAGATTTTGTGGTTGTTACAGTATTCGAGAGAATAGATGTCAAATATGAGAGCATACATGTCATGTACGAAATCTACAATTTAAACTCTAATTAATGGATGGTTCTTTATTTCAATCATAGAGGGATTAATGTATTATCAAAGCAGTTTGTCTTTTAAAGGAAAAATTCTTACTTTGTTGTTTAAGTTGACAATAAAGGATACAACACCAAAATAAAGATTTGAGTATCTTTACTTTGTTTTGATTTTACATAGAGAGATTTGGACTGCATCTTCCTAAGCTTTTTAACTCTTACTAGTATTTTAGAAACTGTGACTGTATTTGTGTTAGATATAAGCAGGCTGTGTGTAACACCATATGTTTCAGCAATCATCTCCTTATCTCCTCTCTCACGTACACAAATTGAATATTAAGATAAAGCAAGACATGAGAGACATTTTGATCTAAAATAAGATTAGAATTAAGAGTATTCATAAGATTAAAATGATGAAGCTGAATCTATCATTATCAAACTATTAAATCATCCTACTCTAACCTAACCCAAGATTATACTAAAAGACTAACCACTAATCATGAAGATGAAGGAATCATTCACTAATTGTCATGGAATACTGAAGATCTTGATCCAAAATGTAAGAATAATGTTTAAGTCTAAAAATCCAGTTAGATAGAGGAAAATATAGATTTACAAATGTCTAAAATGTTCATAAATAGACCTGTCGAAATGGAAAAATAACAAATTTGTGTCTATTTTACCTTTGTTTCCACTTTGCTTTTTTTAAAAGTCTTGTTCATATCAAGCTGAAACTAGATGTAGATTGGTTTCTCCTCTTCTGTCTGAGTAATAGAAGAAATCGTTTCTTCGTTTCTGTTTTCGCTTTTGTGAGAGATTCAAATCTGATGCAAAATCTGTGAATAGATCACCATCTCCCATGATCACATTATAATCCTCAACAGCAGTGTCGATAAGAAGCTGATCGAAGAAAGATGCAAAGAGGTACAATTATTTTATATACTGTCTCTGTCATGAATCTTGTTCATTATAATACATTAAAAGCAAGTCTTTTTTATTCTTCTCATGCTCTACGTACGTACATTTAAGGTCGCCAATGAAAAGTGCACTTCTACTTTTGAATTTTGACGAAGAGAATACACATGAACAACCGGTCATGCTCTCTTGCATGCCAAAAATATATATTCTAAAGTAAAGTCTTCATCCCAAGCAAACCCATCTCTGATTAATCAGTGAAGACTCATAATCACGTTAAAATCTTCTTCACTGAATCTTATATAGGTTTTTCAAGATATCAACATCAAAGTTAGACTCAAATTTCTCGCTGAAGATGTTTACCATCATCAAATCAATGAAATTTCAGTCCAGCTGAACATATATAGTTGGAAATTAATCAAACTAATGACAGAGATAGTAAACAAAATTTTGACCCAAATAATTAATAATAAATATGTAGAAGCACCTTTGGCCCACTCGTCAATGGTTTAAACGTTTTTATACCAGGTCTCGAGTTCAAATCCCAGTTTAGATAATTCTTGCTGATTATTGCTGCAAAGCTTAGCGGAAGTTCTAGAATACTGCAGGCAGAGACGTTCGTCGTGGGCTCTTGTGTTGCGGGAAGAGTCTGTCCATCGTATATCATACATGTAGAACCGTCCATCGTGAATCCGAATGTTGTGGAAAGAGTTGCATCGTAAAAACGTTGTTATGTTACAGGTAGTCTATATGAATAGATCAAATACTTCTAATGATGATGTAATAGATGAAAAATAAAATTTAAACAAATCTTTAAAAAAATCTTTGGGAAATATAATTTCAAAAAAGCTAAAGAGATAATATCATTAAAATGATAGAAAATAAAGAATATTCTCAATTAATTTGAAAGACAATTAAATCCATTTTTAATTTAATATCTTAAACTATTTTTAATAGCATCATGTAAAATTATTATCATTTTATATATAGTAGATGATATTCGAATCTGCAGTAATTTTCCTTAATTTAATAATTAATATCCCTAAAACATGACTCGTATATCTAACAACATTATATTATGAAGTAGGAAATGGAAGTAGCTTTAAAAGTACCGTGAGCCAGTGACACATAAACCCTAACTTATCTATATATTTATATGGAGGGAGACTAAGCAAGCGTAGAAATTTTATATATAGGGTTCAAGAGAAAATCATATTTTTCAATGTCTAGGGTTCAAGCGAAAATTATCCAAAGTTGTAATCGTTGTTGATTCCTTGGAGATCGAATTTGAGATATTCAACGAAATTCGATCTCCAAAGAATCCACAACAATGAAAACTTTGTTGACCATCTATAAAGTATTTTCAACCAAGTTGAGATATCTTAAATCTTTCATTGAGATGACTTATTTCATCAAAGACAACATGGGCCTCGTGGGGGTGTAGAACACGTATTTGGGTTAAACCAAGGGGATCCAACCTATAATTTTTATTAATAATCCTCTATGAATTTGAGTTGAATTACTAGATTTTGAACATGATAACAACTTGCTCCTGCCTCCAGTCTCTCCCTTAAGACTTTTGTGGTTATTGTAGTTGTATCTGAAAAATACATGTCAAATCTGAGAGCATACATGTCATGTTAGAAATCTACCATTTTAACTCTAATTTATGAAGGGTTCTTTGTTTCAATCCGACATAGATAAAAATGTATCATCAGCACAACGTGTCTTGAAGGGAAAATACTTACTTTGTTGCTTAAGAAAAAAATAATTGAGTACTTTTACTTTGTTGAATAGAGGAATTTGGATCACATCTTCCTTTGCATTTTTAACTTTTACTCTGTATTTCAGAAATTGTGACTATATCTTGTGTTGAGATATGAGCAGCTTGATGTGTTATCTGAGTAAATCTGGGGGAAAGAAACAGAGCAGCATAAAGGTTAGAGGTAAGCTTGTGAGATTAGCTTGGCTGAACAACAATAGTGGCAAGAAAAGAGTAATCAAATAGAAAGAGAAATCTAATGCGTATCGGAGGAAGAACTTAGCATTGTGAGAGACTGATCTTATTGGTTTAGTGGTGTTACATGAACTTAGCATATAAGATTTAGTGAATAGTAGGCATATAACTATATAAGATTTAGTGGTGTGACATGAACTAACCATGTAAGAATCGAGCTCTGTCTTGGTTTTTAGTGGTGAAGGGTGTTCAAAAACCAGTAACTTGTGTCATGTAGGATTAGATTTTAGGAGGATTGGTTTGGAATTGGATATGGTCATTATACATGGAGCCATCTTTCTGCAGGATGGATTAGGTTGGAAAAAGAAGAAGCAAGTTTTAGTGTTGTTCACATGATAAATGTAGTAACTGGTGCTTGAGATCCTTATTTTGGCTTGGTGAGACTAACAGGAAATGATGAGGAAGAACACGAAGATGTGGTAACATTAAGCAGAACACAGAGATGACGTTTGTATGGTTAGGGAAATGGAATGGACTAGTTTGTTTTGTAAAGGTCATAAGTGAGTTGTTCCTCTGATCTTTGCATTTGTACTTAAAACTAGATGCATTTCTAGTTGCACTTTGTCCTCAAAATATCTGTTAGGGTCTTAGAAGTGTTCTTTGCGTGTAACAAGAATGAAGAACTTGCAGCTAATTACCTTCTAGATCACATGCATGAGTTTGAGGACCACTAAACAGAGAAAATCACATGGGCTGAACCTATTGCCGGATCCGGTATAAAGTTTTTTAAATATCCAAATCCGGATCCGCCGGATTTGAAATTTTACTCTCCGGATCCGGATCTGGATCCGTCCAACTGGATATCCAGTTTTTTGGATCGGGTCCCGGATCCGGATCCAGAAACCCGCGGATCCCGGATTATTTATTCCTGCCCTAGTACCTATGCTTTGCTACGTACCTTGCCAAAATAAAGAAGCATCTTCAAGAGACAATTAATTGAAAGAAACTCTCAAAAACATTAACGCAACCACAATTGCATAAGATTTGAGAAATTGTGTCTCTGACGCAACATTTTAGAGTCACAATTTATAGCATAATTAATTGAAGTCACAAATTCATCATAATTTGTGATACGTATAAAAGTTGTAAATTCGTTATAAAATCGTGAGAAGCTTTCCATTTGCCACAATTACATGGTAGCAAATTGAACTGTCAGGTTTTTGCAAAATATTAAAACTTGAAAACTTGCAGAAGAAAATAAGGAGGTCTCTCAACATTTTGTAGACAATTATCTCGAAATTTTTTGAGTATCACCTATATCATAGTAACTCAGTAATAAATTATTTTCGGATTAGAAGATCAAGATTCGAATCATCTCACTGTAATGTTATTCATAATTTGGCGTTGTAAATGTTTGAAGTGCCAAGTTTATCCAACATTTAAACCAAAAAAAAAAAAAAAAAAGTTTATCCAACATTCCACGTATTATAAGGATTAGTCTGGACTTTAGTTTGGTATCTTTGGTCATACAAAAAAAAAAATTGTATTACATAACTCTTGGCTTACGTAATGCAACAAATCATCCAATAATTGTTTCTGACGTTTGTTATTTATTATAAATGTAGAGGGGAAGCTTGGACTTCCAAGTCCAAGGTTCTAGGCAACTACAAGCAAAACCCACAATTTTTTAAAAAAATTTATGGTATTTTAACATCTTTGTCATATGTTTTATCAATTTATTAATCGTCAAAGTTCAATAAAATTAAACAAAGTATTCTTCTTTTTTTTTTTTTTTTCATCTAGAATTTTTTCTATTATATAATAGGATTGTGAAATATAAGGGTGGAATACAATTGTGAAACATTAAGCCGGCGAAAACCAAAGAAATCCCCGGAAACTAAGCCCAAACGAGGGAGACATAAACCGATAGACAAATAAAATAACAAACTACGGAGATGAGGAGAACTGCAAAGCGATGTCCCAATTAAGCCCAGCATAAGAGCAACGAGGAAGGCGAGATAAAGACGAACAGATTGAGAAACCTGACAGAGAATATGACGAAGGAAGAGAAACGCACTTGCTCAACTCTTTCAGTCCAAGATCACACAACTAACTAACTGAGAGGATCCTGCTGACCGTGAAACGAAGACGACCAAACCAACCTTCAAGCAAAAGCGGAGGAAACCCAACCAAGTGGGTGAACTGAACCATCCGCGAATTGAAAATGAGGAAACCGATCAAACACTTAGCCTAGAGACACCATGGGAGGGCAAAAAGAGACGAACCACCAGCAAAATCCAAGATACATAACCGCAGAACACAAGTCAACTTAGCTAACAACCAAATCAAGGAAAAAGAGGCCACAAAACACCTAAATCCGGATTGTACGACAAAGCTATACGAAAATCCGTAGATTAGGAAACCTCCAAATCAATAGATCCAGCCAAAAGCCAACGATTAGACCAACCTAACACAAAGATGAAGCAGGAGAGACAAGAGAGATGCCGAGCCACCGAGAGGCAGAGCCGCTGTCCCTCATAACCGGATAAGAAAGAAAGACCGAGCCTCCGCTGCTCCAAAACAATGAAGCACCAAACCAGAGACAAGGCGAGAATCCACACAATGAAGCAGTAGCGAGAATGGCAACTCCATTACACTATCGACCAAGAGGCATGTCGATTCCGGCCACCTTGAGCCACTCCTCATCAGATTTGAACCTCGACGACAAACAAACTCCCTCACCAAAAACACCACGCTTCACAGCCGAGGAAAGCAAAGACAATAAACAAGATAGGGGACCGACGCTGGTGCTATCGGAGCCGCCACGCACCGGTCAGAGCTTGGCTAAGACGAAGAGAAGAAAGCGGCTATTAGGTTTTTAGAGAGAAAAAAAGGTCGTCCGGGAGTAACTTTTTGAACAAAGTATTCTATTTGAGAAAAAACACTAGTTATGTTAGTAAGAGTTGCAAGAATTTTCGACAGCATGTCTTAAGTATGTTTTACCAATCATGTTTTTCAAAAGCAATTATTTTAAACCCTTATTTAGATGATGCAGTGAAAAAAGAAAAGAATTACATCCTAAAAATTTACAAATTTAGATTTTACAACAGTTAATTTAGAAGTTACAAGGCAATTCATCTCTATTTTTTAATAAACAAAAATAAATTCTCTCTTTCGCCGTTGCCATTTTGTTCCCCCTTTTTTTTTTTTTCCCAAGTTTAACAGTGTTCTTATTCGTTGACCACAAAACAAAAAAATGCATTTGACAAAGTAAAAAATGTTTTATTTTAAAATATTTTAAACAAAGAATTGTGAATAAGCTTGTACGAATTAGCAACTAGCTTTAAAGAAATAAGAGTTCTGGTTTTATTAGCTTTTCTTCATAACGAACTGAAAACGAAGTCACAACTATCGACAATGACTTATTGATAAGAAGAAAAGACACAAAGAAAACAAATTTCTGCAGACTGTATTCTACACCAAACCCAGAAGTCTTAGCCAAAACATTCAAAGCGATTTCTCAAGCAAAACAAGAAGATGAAGGCAAGTATATATGTATTCAACAACAAGCAAATATGTTTATGTATGTGTTTATATGGCTTCTTTGATTGACGTTACAACATATCATTTTTTTCATATGCAGCAAAAGATCTTGATAAGAGTAACTATGACCGATGACAAAACCCGAGCAAAAGCAATGACAAAAGCAGTTCAGTTTAAAGGTAAGAAGACCTTTCCACAAAAAGATTACCAACCTCTGTTGGATCTAATGCTTTATGCAATGGTTTTATAGGTGTGTCAGCCGTGGAAATAAAAGGCGATCATAGGAACCAGATAGAGGTCACCGGTGTTGAAGTTGATATGATCCCCCTCATCCAAAAACTCAGAAAGAAGGTAGCATTTGCAGAGCTTGTAAGCGTGACCAAAGTTGAACCTCCAAAGAAAGAAGACGAGAAGAAGGGAGCGGACGGAAAAGGTGCTGGAGGAAAAGGCGGTGACCAAAAAGGTGGCGATAAGAAACCGCCAGATGACAAGAAACCTCCGGAGCCAAAACCGGTGCCGTGTTATCCCTGGCCTCAGGGATATGGTGTGCCTTCCCCCTTTCCCCAGGGATACGGTGTGCCTTCCTCCTTTCCCCAGGGAGACGGTGTGCCTTCCGCCTTTCCCTACCCGTGCCATCCGGCACATCCCTGTAATGATATAGGGGAACCCGTTTACAATCACGAACCCAAATGCACAATCATGTGAAATGGGTTTTACAGAGGAAGATTGATAGAGCATGATGACACAATGTTTTCTTTGTAAAGAACTAAAGAATCAATGTGTTTAATTACTATTTAGTCATATGAATAAAGCTATGAGACTACCAAATCAATTTACTTCTATCTCAACATGCTCTTATAGCATGATACTCTTTAATTCTTATGCATTGCCTAGTAAATATCTGTATGAGCACATCATAGCATTTAACAAAGATTACGTTTCCTTCCACGCATCAATTGCCAGAAGCATAACTTGGTACATTCACAAGGGTTCTTTTTCTTTTACAAAATGAAGTCACTGATCTTAAATATAGTAGCCAACAAAGGTTATAAGCACAACAAATGCATCTAATGACCTCCAACAGTCTTCCCTGGTAAAGAACCATCAAGATGAACGATTGAATGAGTTGAATTAGTAAATAAAGGAACAAGAAAGTTATCAAATGAGATGACTAAAGTTATACCAATAGCAGTCTTCTTGGGCTTAACCCTAGGTGTTTACTCTACAAGTAAAGTCTGGAGCTTCGAGGTATCGCTGCGGATAATGTTACCCCACAAGCTTAGTTAGATGATCGAGGGTCACATGGTTCTAACCCTTCAAAGTCAGTTTTAACAGTCTTTAAGTGCGTGTATTCATGCTCACATCAACACCTACAAGCAACATCAAAATCACCATTCTCTTAAAGAATGTCTCAAACTATGAAACTTAACACATGACTAAGCCACTGGATTGTACGGAATCAAGAAAACAAGGCAAGCGTTCATGATCCTAAGAATGAACTAACTATTGAATCGAATTCGAGATTGGAGGATTACAAAATTGAGTACCAAGACCTAGAAATCAAAGTACTCCAAAGAGACACAAAGGGCGAATCGGAATAAGCAATTTCGTTGTTCCACTTCATCAAAACCCTAATCCGTTCAATTCAAAAGGAAGCTTAGTTCTCAATAATGAAATTAATTTCATAATGCGAGAAAAAAATTACCTGACGAGAGCTTCATGTTTTGGAGTGAGGGAGAAGAACCAAAAAAAACCCATGGAAAGATTTTGCTCAGTGTTCAAATGTTTTTCCAACTGATTGTGAATGATGGATGACCCGACCCAAGATTGGCCGAGACTCTTACCACTATTCAGACTTTAGTTTAGTATAGGTAATCGTAATCTATCGAATTTGAATATGATGAGTTTGATTGGTGAACACAAAAAAAGTATTACAAGTTGTACAGCTTTTATTTTTACCAATCACAAAAACTTTATCAAAAGTGTTACTAAAAGTTTTACTCTCAGCTTTTTTGTACAGTTTTCTCGTACAGCTCTTTCATACAACTTTGCACTATTCCGGTAAAGCTAACAGCTAAAAAACTTGTACAGCTTTTGGTTACCTATCGGACCCGATATCTTGAATTCTCATTTTCCAAGCATTTTCTGACTCCTCCAGAATAATTTGCTTTCGCTTACTCTCGATTAATCAGAATTTAGGATACTCTGAAATATACCTAGGAGTTTCCGAAAACGCCCACTTCTGTCTTGCTCCGCACCAAAAAAACGTAACGTACTAAAAGGGGCTTTAATGTAATTTCACACTACATGCACAATCAGCTGAAAGAATAACGGTTCCCGAGACCCCATCACAAAATAAGAAATAAATAAAAACAAAAATCTTTTTACACTTTCCCACAATCACAAGACAACAACAAAGCAGAGTCCAAACTCTCACTCCAAATTCTCTCAATTTCTCCTTTGATCCTTTGATCGTAGCGAAATTGATTCACAAAAACAACACAGAGAAGAAGAAGATAACAATGGCGTCTATGGCTGCGATTGGAGTTCTAAAAGTACCTCCTGCTTCGAGTTTCGATTCCACCGGCAAAGCCACGGAGGCTGTTCCGACGAGAACTCTTTCTTTCTCCTCCTCTGTAACTTCATCCGACGAGAAGAAGCTTTCACTCAAATCCACCGTCTCCCGTCGTTTTAAATCTGTTCTTCGCGGCCAATATATGAGGAATCCGATGATCGTCTCTCCTAAAGCTGTCTCCGATTCTCAAAACTCACAAACTTGTCTCGATCCTGATGCAAGCAGCGTGAGCATCATCTTCTTCTTACTTGTTATTGTTTCACCTACTAGTATTGATTTGATTTGTTTCAATGGCAGAGTGTGTTGGGGATAATCTTAGGAGGTGGAGCTGGAACTCGTCTTTATCCTCTTACGAAGAAGAGAGCGAAACCAGCTGTTCCTCTTGGTGCTAACTATAGGCTTATTGATATTCCTGTGAGCAACTGTTTGAATAGCAACATATCCAAAATCTATGTTCTTACTCAGTTCAATTCCGCGTCTTTAAATCGTCATCTTTCACGAGCGTATGCGAGTAACATGGGAGGTTATAAGAATGAAGGTTTTGTTGAAGTTCTTGCTGCTCAACAAAGTCCTGAAAATCCCAACTGGTTCCAGGTAAGCGAATCAATGCAGGATTTCTTTTGTTGGATATAGTGCTTTTTTTTTTTTTTTTTTTTTTTTTTTTTTTTTTTTTTTTAGTGTTGTTTTACTGTTTTGGTTTGTGTAGGGAACAGCTGATGCAGTGAGGCAATACTTGTGGTTGTTTGAGGAGCATAATGTTTTGGAGTATCTGATTCTTGCTGGGGATCATTTGTATAGAATGGACTATGAGAAGTTTATTCAAGCACATAGAGAGACTGATGCTGATATTACAGTAGCTGCATTACCAATGGACGAACAACGAGCCACTGCTTTTGGGCTAATGAAGATCGATGAAGAAGGACGGATCATTGAATTTGCCGAAAAACCAAAGGGAGAGCACCTAAAGGCCATGAAGGTAAATATAAGAAAAGAAACAACGGTTCATTATTCGGGATAGTAAATAAACATTTGATTTCTTGGTTTCTAGGTTGACACAACAATTCTTGGTCTTGATGATAAGAGAGCCAAGGAGATGCCTTACATTGCTAGTATGGGTATTTATGTTGTAAGCAGAGATGTAATGCTAGAATTACTACGGGACAAGTTTCCTGGAGCTAATGACTTTGGAAGCGAAGTCATTCCCGGTGCCACTTCCCTTGGACTGAGGGTGAGTGTTCATATTCATGTTTACAACATATACTTTGTATTCTGATGGTCAAGCAAGTCTCTCTGTTGCTCTATAGTTTGCTTTCGGATTCAACAGCTTCTTGTAGCTGATTATGCTATGCAGAAGCAAAACCTGGTAACTTTGATAATGGCACTGCAGGTACAAGCTTACCTTTATGATGGCTACTGGGAAGACATTGGTACTATAGAGGCATTCTATAATGCAAATCTTGGAATCACCAAGAAACCAGTTCCTGATTTTAGGTAGAGCAACAACATTACCAAGTGGAATATATACACTCTATTGTATCTGAGTGATATCTTAACTTATCTGAATTCTTGATGCAGTTTCTATGATCGTTCCGCTCCTATCTACACACAGCCACGTTATTTACCACCCTCTAAGATGCTTGATGCTGATGTCACGGATAGTGTCATCGGAGAGGGCTGTGTTATCAAGGTACAATCAAATAGCTTCTGTTCGATATGCTTTACGAGAGAACATACGAATCATCAAAATCTTATTTCATTTTGGACGCAGAACTGCAAAATTCATCACTCTGTGGTTGGACTCCGTTCCTGCATATCAGAAGGTGCTATTATTGAAGATTCGCTATTAATGGGAGCTGACTATTACGAGGTAAGAATGTAACTTCATATGTCTCGCAATCAATCCACTTGATGACTAATAGCAACCTTTTGATGATGATGGTTTTCTTTTATTATTGTGATTTGGCCTAGACTGCTTCGGAAAAGAGCCTTCTAAGTGCGAAAGGAAGTGTACCCATAGGTATTGGGAAAAACTCGCACATCAAAAGGGCCATCATCGACAAAAACGCACGTATCGGTGACAATGTCAAGGTTAGTGTTTATATTTGGAACACACAGGATATGCAGCTTTGTTCATACTTGCTCTGATCTTAAAATGGGTTTGGTCTAAAACTTGGCACAGATCATAAACAGTGACAACGTGCAAGAGGCAGCGAGAGAGACTGATGGATATTTCATAAAGAGCGGAATTGTAACCGTTATCAAAGACGCCTTAATCCCAACCGGCACTCTCATCTAAACTACACATAATGCTCCTTTGTTTATTTCTCTTTCTCCCTAATAAAGGCAAACACTTCGATGATGTATACGCCTTATCAATAAGTTTTCTTTATGGCTTTTAAGCCCCAATAAATCTACTACCATTGCTGCTGCTTAGAACTATCTGGATCGTAGTTTCAAGCTAATAACTAGTTCGAACCATATAACTTATGTCGAATGATGCACATAAAGAAAAGTTTTTAGAGCTATTTTAAATAAAGGAACAACCTCACTGTCTTTGACTCAGCCACTTTGGTTGTTGCGCTGAGTTTTCTCAGCAGGTTCTTCATCTTCCCTGATGGGGAGGTTACTTGAGCCGATGAAGTTTTCTGCTCAGTTACATCTTCTCCATCTCGTTCGATAGTTGATTCATTTGATGAGATTTCACTATCAATATCCCTTAATTCGATCCGTCTTCTTGCTCTTCTTCTACTTCTTCGCTTCTCATTCTGTTGGGAACGGTGGTGTTCTTTCCCTGAAAATGATTCTTGCATAGACAAAAACAGTGAACCATCTCCCCTTTTCCCTGCACCTGTATTGACATTAGTTTGATCTCTATCTTTTTCGTCATCTTCAGCATCTTCAAAGTTTTCTTTAGCTACCCTCTCTATTCGTTTTCTGATACCTCTAACTTCTCTTTATCCTCTTCTGGTTGATTGGTTTCCTCAGTTAATGGCATGTTCTCACCTCTTGCTATATCAGAATCCTTCTCAGCTTGCACTTGTTCCTCTTTTGATGAACAGTCATCCTTCTCTCCTGGTAACTCTTGATCACTTACAATGTCTGTACTGCACTGTCCGCTGAATTCTCTTGATTCCCATTTTCATCACCAGATAAGATTATATCCTCTTGGCTTCTGAGAACACTGATTATACTGCTTCCACGAGTGAATGATTTTGACTTGTGTCTTCCAAGTAGTTTTGAAAGGCTTAAGATCACTCAGGGCTGTTGTACCATTAAGGGTTTTGACTTTGCCAAAGATACTAGAATTCCTTGATTATTATTGATCAATGATATGAGTATATATATTACAAGAGATTAGGTATAAGAATGTAAACGAATATATACAAGAATATTAACATATATCGATAAGGAATGTATCCTTATCGTAACACTCCCCCTCAAGTTGGAGCGTGGAGATTACAAACGCCCAACTTGTCTCGTAGAAATCGAAACTGCTGACTTCCGAGAGCCTTAATGAAAATGTCTGCGGGTTGAACCGTAGTAGAGACGTGAGAGAATGCTAAGTTGCCAGAAGTATACTCGTCTCGTATGAAATGACAATCGGTTTCGATTTGTTTCGTTCGTTCGTGAAAGACCGGATTGGAAGCAATATGAAGAGCAGATTGACTGTCACAAACCAGATGCATAGGTTGATCATGAGAAACGCCGAGCGAGAGAAGAACTTCTTTAACCCACATGAGTTCTTGACATGTCATAGCCATGGCACGATACTCTGCTTCAGCGGAAGAGCGTGAAACTTTGTCTTGTTTCTTTGTTTTCCAGGAGACCGGAGAGTTACCAAGTTTCACCAAATAGCCAGTCAATGATCGTCTCGTAAACGGGCAGCCCGCATGATCAGAGTCACTATATCCGGTGAGCTGTAAGTTAGAGGCAGATGAGAGAAGTATACCTTGTCCTGGACAGCCTTTTAAGTAGCGGACAAGACGGAGAGCTGCATCCCAATGATCGGAGAGTGGTTTTTGCATGAATTGTGCTAGCATATGACCGCATAAGAGATCTCCGGTTTAGTATGAGTGAGATAAACAAGCCTTCCAACAAGACGACGATACTTGTCTGGTTCTGGGAATATTGAACTTGTCGAGGAAGCTAGTTTGTGATTTTGTTCCAATGGCGTCTCCGCAGGACGTGACCCAGAGAGCCCATATTCTTCGATAACATCAAGACAATATTTCCTTTGAGATAAAAATATGCCTTCAGGACTTCTAGCCACTTCAATGCCTAAGAAATATTTCAAATGACCAAGATCTTTCATTTTGAAATATTGGCTGAGATAGACTTTGAATTTGGCTATAACAGAAGCGTCATTGCCGCATACAACCAGATCATCAACATAAACTATGACGTGAAGAACTGCTGATCCTCGGATTGACGTGAAGAGAGAGTAGTCTTTTTTGGATTGAATAAAACCAAACTTGATGAGAGATGTAGATAATTTTTCAAACCAACAGCGAGGCGCTTGCTTCAAACCGTAGATAGACTTTTTTAACTTGCACAGAAGAGAAGGATCGGTTGTCTTGAATCCCGGAGGTGGTTTCATATAAATGTCTTCTTTAAAATCGCCATGAAGAAAGGCGTTATGTACATCCATTTGATGAAGCTCCCAGTTCTTTGCTGCCGCGACATCCAATAAAAGTCTCACAGTTTGCATCTTAACAACCGGAGCAAAGGTTTCGGTAAAATCAACACCCTCTTTTTGATGATTTCCCAAAGCTACAAGTCGGGCTTTGTAGCGTTCTATGGTGCCGTCGGAGTTGTATTTAATGCGAAAAAACCCACTTGGAACCAATAGCTTTTACTCCAGGAGGAAGCTTTGTAATATCCCAAGTTCCTTGATCTTCAAGGGCATCAACTTCAAAGGAAACCGCATTTCGCCATTCTTTTTCTTGAACAGCTTGATTATACGTTAGAGGTGGATCAAACATACTAATTGCAACCAAGAAGTGTTGATGACTCTCCGAGAACCGTTCACAAGAAATAAAATTAGCCATAGGATAGACACACGTACCAAATTTTTCTGAGATAGGGTCGGGTGTGAGTGAAACAGAGGAAGAATCACATTGTACCGCGTAAGTTTCAGAATCCTTAAGGCGAACAGATTCTTGTCTATTACGCAGCCCGCGGCGAAGAGGAGCAGGAGGCGCAACAACTGGTGTGACTGTATTAATGGGAGAGCTTGGAGGAAACTCGGTGATAGTAATAGTAGTCGGAAGAGTAGCTGTAGGAGGAGCAGCATTAATCTGTTCTGTGTCAAGTGAAGATGATGGAAGATCATCATCATAAGCCAAATTCGGAGATGGAATGACATGAGGAGATGAAGACTCTGTGATGATATTCTTTTTCGCAGCATAGGGAAAACAATCTTCCTGGAAAATGACATCTCGAGAGACAAAAAAATCATTTGATTCAATGTCATAAATCCTCCAACCTTTTTGACCATGAGGATATCCCATAAAAATACCTTTGCGTCCTCGCTCTTGGAATTTATCGGAACGAGCAGAGTGTTTCTTTGCAAAACATAGACTTCCAAATACCCGTAGTTCAGCATAAGTCGGTGCTTTGGAGTAGAGAATTTCATATGGAGTTTTTCCATCAAGAATCGGAGTTGGAGTTCGATTTATTAGATAGGCAGCTGTAAGAACACTTTCTCCCCAGAAACTTGTGGGCAGGTCTGCTTGAAACAAGAGCGATCGTGCAACGTTCAAAATGTGACGATGCTTACGCTCGACACGCCCATTTTGCTGAGGTGTATAGACGCATGACTTTGATGAACAATTCCGTTTTCAGCGAAGTATGACTTTAAACACATAAATTCAGTACCATTGTCGCTTCTCACTGTCTTAACTTGTTTGTTGAATTGGCGAGATGCCATAGCAATGAACTTTTGAAGTAGAGAAGCAACCTCACTCTTAGCTAGCATAAGATGAGTCCAAACTGCGCGAGAGTGATCATCAACAATGGTTAAAAAATAATGAGCTCCGCAAGAAGAAGCAAGATTGTAAGGTCCCCAGACGTCGCAATGAATCAAAGAAAAACATTCTTCTGCTTTATTGAAACTTTCAGAAAAACTAGCTCGAGTTTGTTTTGCTCGAACACAAACGTCACAAATCGTCTTTAAATCAGAACTACAACTATCAAAATCCTCTAAAGAATTCAAAACAGAAGATAACACTTTAGTAGATGGATGTCCTAGCCGCATATGCCACAAAGCCTTGTCGGTTTTCCTCTTAACCGTGTTAGCACTCGCTACAACAGCTCCAGCTCCTTGTAAGTGATAGACTCCATTTTTCTCTTTACCAATTCCAATCAGCATCTTGGAAGTATGGTCCTGTATCACGCAAACTTGATCAGTGAATATGGCATAACAATGAAGCTCACAGAGAAGACGAGCCACAGAGATGAGTGTGCAGGAGAGATCGGGCACGAATAAAACTTGTGTAAGTTTCATCTTTGGACCGAGAACTAGCGTTCCTTTTTTAGTAGCAATCGTATGTTTAGCATTAGGAAGAACAACAATGCTATGAGGAATCTCATAAATCTCAGTAAGTAAATCCAGAAAACCAGTCATGTGATGTGAAGCTCCTGAATCAATTAGAAAATCAACACAATTTGTCTTACCAGAGAGTTTCTCGGATGAAGCAGCAGAGTCAGTTTTCAAAAGAGATTTTATGGCTGTCCACGCCTCTTTGCTTACACCGGGAATGTCAGGGAAGTCAGAAGCAGAGGATGCGGAAGGCGAAGTCTGAGCATTGTTGGCTCTGTATGAGTAGCCGCGTCCCCTGCCTCTACCGCGAGATGCACTGTTTCGACCACGACCACGCCCTGATCCAGTGTCGCCGTATTTCTCTGTGTACCATTCAGGAACACCATGTAGTTTGAAACAGGTATCAGCATTGTGATTAGATCTCCCGCAGTGAGTACATGGACCGAGATTGTTGACTCGAGTTACAGAAGCAATTGCATTGACTCCGGTTTGAACAGAGAACCCGACTGCATCAACACGTTCTTCTTTGCTTCTTGCCACTGTTAGATGTCTTTCTTCTGCAATAATATCAGAATAGATGCTGTCAAGATTGATAGAATCATCACGGCTTAAACGCCCCAAAATATTGGTACGAGTGGTGCCAAATTTTGCTGCGTCAAGCCCCATAAGAAACTGGTGAATGCGTTCATGATCGCGTCGTTTAATCTGGCGAAGCGTGTGAGGACAGGAGGATTTGTCACAGCAGCAGGTTAAGAGAGGTTCATAATCGTCTAAGTCATCCCACATGACTTTGAGTTTGCCAAAGTAGTCAGCAGCCGTTTGCCCATCTTGGCGACAAGCAACGATGTCAGATTTGAGTTGGTGAACGCGAGAGGCATTACCA